ACTCGACGAAGCTTCAAAAATCGAAGAGGCGCCTGCTCAGAAATCGAAGAGCGTTTGCTTTCTCAAAAGCTGGGCTGCTCAGAGACCACGAGGGTCGATCTCAGAAATCGAAGAGGCGTTTGCTTTCTCAAAAGCTGGGCTGCTCAAAGACAACGAAGGCCGATCTCAAAAATCGAAGAGGCGCTTGCTTTCTCAAAAGCTGGGCTGCTCAGAGACCACGAGGGCCGATCTCAGAAATCGAAGAGGCACCTACTTTCCCAGCTTTGTCAGCACCTGTCACACGCACACTCAGCTTTGCAGAAATTATGGGCATTCTGTCGAAGATTTCTAGTGAAGTAGAAAGCACATGAATCTTACTGTTCAATCACCCACTTCCCACACACAACATTAGCTCATGGGTACCACATATAACTTTGCCAAAGTTCTCTGACAAAGTTGAGACACGTGAAGTTTGCAGCTCCCACTACATCGCTCTGACCAAGAAGGGTAAAAGAATAGCAAAGAAACAGCACTAACAAAGTTTAGACACATAAAATTTGAAGGTCTAGATACCATATTATTACCCACAAGGGTAAAGGAACAGTACCACTGCTGGATAATTGGAAAGTCCCTGTGTGTCAATCTCTGTGCTTCGTGGCAAGGTAGACTAGCAAACATGCCCAACCTTTACTCACATTCGAGAAAACTCCCAACAAGATTGCTTGCTCCAAAATCGAAGAGGCACTGCCCTCCGAATCTCGAGAGCCAGACTCCCAACATGATTACTTTCTCAAAAATCGAAAAGACACCGCTATCCGAATCTCGAGAGCCAGACCCCCAGCAGGATTGCTTTCTTAAAAATTGAAGAGGCATCGTTCTCCGAATCTCGAGAGCCAGATCCTCGACAGGATTGCTTGTTCGAAAACCGAAGAGGCACCACTTTCCCAACTTCAAAAGCCGGATCTCTTTGGATAAAGCTTGTCTGTAATCTTCACACGCAACATCAGCTTTCCAGATACCACAGACCACTTTTTCAAAGTGCTCTGACAGAGTTAAAACATGTGAAGCTGGCAGCTCCCACTACCATGCTATAACCAAGCAGGGTAAAGGAATAACATTACTACTTGTTGTTAGGGAGACTCCTATTTATGTCGACTTCTATCCCCAACGGACAGGCAGACCTGCAAAAATGCTCAACCCTTCCTCATATCTGAGAGGGCACTCCCAACGAAGCCTTTCGAAATATTCAGCTTTCTTTCCCCTGATAATACCTCTGCAAACAAGCTACTAGAGCAAGAATATCTCATATCATCAGGGTTAAAAGCAAGAGTATCCCATATCATGCTTTTTCCCTGTCTTTTCCTTTGGCCTTGTTCTTACCTGCAAGACAAGGAGAAAGAGAGCAATCAGTCAGCACTTGGAATCAAGCTTCCAGTCAGGAACTGACTGCCTGGAACCCCTTACCTGATTACTTACCTGGCATTGCTATCGAGTACTCATCTTCAACATCTTATGCTTCCAGGGAAGATACCGCATCTGCCTGAGGAACAGATAGGGCAAGTGAGAAGGATACAAGGAAGCATGTGGAGACAAGCGTAACAGCACACGTGCTGATACATCCACTACTCTGTCAAAAGCAAAAGTATCTCATATCAGCAGGGTCGAACGTACTCTAGATTTGATAGACTTGTTTTGACCCTCAAATTCTTCAGTCGGCCTTATACTCTGGAGGAAACCAGAAAACCTTCTAGCCCAGTTCAAGAATAAGCCTGTGGAAAGTTACTTCTTCAAAAGCAAAAGTATCCCATATCATCTCTTCTCATTTTTCTTCTCTTTATCCTTCATGCTGCCTGCAAGATAGGGAGAATGTGAACAATCAGCTGGAACTCGAAATCAAAGTTCTGATCTGGGACTGATTGCTTGGAGCTCTGATAGCTTACCTTGTCTGTCACCTCTTTCAGCAGATCCCTTAGCTCGGCGACTTAGGGGACTCCTACTACATGGTTTGTATCGCGCTTGACCAAGCCTGAAACTACAAGTAAGCTTCAAGTGAAATTGATACATTACCTTGTGCATCTCCACCAATTAAAGATACCACCCCTGGATGGAGGAAGAGTACTTCTAGAGGAGATGCCACATCTACCTATGAGACAGATAAGGCAAGTCAAGACGATACCACACTCTAGTACTTAGAAGTTTCGTGACTACGAGATCATTCTCCCACAATATTTCCTAATGTCATTTGTACTAAATCATTCACTTGTACTCACTAAAGGAGAGTTTGAACCTATGTACTTGTGTAAACCCTTCACAATTAATGAGAACTCCTCTATTCCGTGGACGTAGCCAATCTGGGTGAACCACGTACATCTTGTGTTTGCTTTCCTATCTCTATCCATTTATATACTTATCCACACTAATGACCGGAACAATCTAGCGAAGATCACAAAAAACGATCGTTTTCGCTACCTAGGATCTATCTTGCAAGAGAACGGAGAATTAGATGGAGATCTCAACCATAGAATACAAGCTGGATGGATGAAGTGTAAGAGTGAATCCAGCGTGTTGTGTGACCGTCGTAGGCCACTGAAGCTTAAGGGAAAATTTTATAGGACGGCAATAAGGCCAGCGATGTTGTATGGCACAGAATGTTGGGCGGTGAAGCATCAACATGTACACAAAATGGGTGTAGCGGAGATGAGGATGCTTCGTGGGATGTGTGGGCACACGAGAAATGATAAGATTGGGAATGAGGATATCCGAGGTAAAGTAGGAGTAGCCGAAATTGAAGGAAAGATAAGAGAATATCGGTTACGGTGGTTTGGACATGTGCAAAGAAGGCCTAGGGGTAGAGGTTCAGGGCCGAAGGGGTAGAGGAAGACCTAGGAAAATTTTGGAAGAGACCCTAAGAAAAGACTTAGAGTACTTGGATCTAACGGAGGACATGACACAAAACCAAGCGCAATGGCGTTCTATGATTCATATAGCCGACCCCACTTAGTGGGAAAAGGCTTTGTTGTTGTTGTTGTTGTTGGTGACTCGAGCTAGGATCAAGCAAATTGGAAAATAGAGAGTGAACTTTGTAAGCTATAAAAGTAGTTGTCTTCAGCGAGAAAATTAGTGCAAGACTAAAGAGCAATGAGAGCCCATGCACACATTTTAAATCCTTGGAATAATCCTACCTTCAAGAAGTGGCGTTGCACCTCTTCACCAGAAAATTCTTATTCTCCAACATTATTAAGTACAAATTAATTGTTTATTTCTTTATATTTAAATAACCCTTAATCAAGGTACGAGGAAATTGAATTTATTAGCATTTCGAATCAGAGTTTTCCCACAGTTACGCCTCAAATCAGGTGCTAAAAACATATATTATGAAGAAAGAAAAGCAACCGAGAGATGAAGGAAAGAGACAGTCAGATTCTTCCATGTGCAAACAAATAAACTTTCTCCCCAAGAAACACAGATGGAAGAGATATATGGTGTATCCAGACATATAAAAACAGTTAGTCGAACTCTATCTCTAATTTTTAAATAAAATAAATGAAAAAAAGTCTTCCTGTATAGTTGTCACAACTTTGTTTAACTTGTAATTAATCTACCCCCTACCCTTGATCAAGTATAATGTATTAATATCCGCCAAGTTTTCGTGTTCATCAGCCAAAAGTTTGAGCAAGTTCTGCCTTGTGATCACTCATGGCTACAAGTTTGATGATCAGAAACTCAATTTTCTTCATCATTTTTGCATGCTTGTGGAGTCTTCATGATGCAAAGGACACACTGAAGCCTGGGGACACTCTCAACTCCTCGAGCACCTTAGTGTCTGCGTCCGGGAAGTTTGTTTTGAAATTCGTGGTACAAACCATCGATGGTTCGAACACCAGCTATATAGCAATCCTGCGCGACAAGCAAGGTGCAAACAAAGCATGGATTGGGAACAGAAACTCTCCTATTCCGTACCCTTCTTCTCCACTTCTCACCTTTGACTTGAGCAACACGTTGAGAATTACAAACCAAGGTGGAAACCCTATTGTGATTTACTCTCCTCCGAAAAATATTAGTACTAATGCTTTTGAGGCTATCCTTCTGGATTCCGGCAATTTTGTGATACGGGAAGCAAGCTCAGTCAACGGATCAACCAACGGGGTTTTGTGGCAGAGTTTTGATTATCCCACAGACACATTTTTACCAGGCATGAAATTGGGGGTTGACCGCAGAAGTGGCAAGAATTGGTCACTTTGGTCTTGGGCAACAAGCTACAATCCTGCACCAGGGCTTTTGAGCCTCGATTGGGACCCAAATGGGAAACAGTTGAGAATCAAGCAGGGTGGGGTGGTTAATTGGACTAGCGGGGTCTTTGATGATGGTTCCATTTATTTTTCCTGATGTGTCCAAGCAGAGGTACAATTTTAGCATCATTTCGAACGAAGACGAAGACTACCTCACTTACAATGCTGTAGGTGACCCAAGTGATCCAGAGCCGGAATGGGTGCTATACAGCAGGGGGACACTTTTTGAATATGGTGCACAAGTTGCGATCACAAAGGCACAGGACTGTGACAGATATAACACAGTTGGAGGGTGCGTTAGAACGGACCAGCCAAGCAACTGTACGGGGAAATTTGGTGATGAATTCGTGCAAAAGAATGGATACTTCAAGATCAAAGACTCTAGTAATACTTCAAGAGCCACCAGCTGGTACGTTGTCAGTAGTGTTGATTGTAAGGTTCTTTGTTGGCAAAATTGTGTCTGCCTTGGTTTCGACACTCCAGCAGATAATCAGTCTAGTGGACCTGGATGCCGATTTTGGAGTGTAGATTGTGAGTTTATTGCAAATAGCACTGGATCAGGTAATACAAGTGGTGTTTTTGTTTTGTCAAGCCTAACAACGCCTGCAAATTCACCACCTGCTAAGAAAAATGGTACGTCCAATTTGATATCTAAACTTCACACAAGGCAATTAGCTAACTAATCGTATTATATATAACTGAATTCGTAGCTAATTAATTGTAGTTAATTCAGGACGTAAGTGGTTGTGGGTTGTCATTGCAATCCCTACTGCACTACTATTAACGATGTTTTGCATATTCGGTTATCTACTAAGAAGACGAATGCTTTCAGGTATGTTCTTTAAGCCTAATCTACACTTGTTAGACAGAATTTCAGATGTTTGATTGTTGTACTAAATTGAAAGTTTGACTTTCTACACTAATTTAAATAGGTGGGGACAGAGCACGGAAACAGAACACATGGCTTTGCTTCTTGAAATTTGATAAACTTACCGATGAACCTGATCAAGAAAACATGGGAAAACATGATTTAAGCGTGTTTACGTATGAATCTGTTCTGGCTGCCACTTCCAACTTCTCGGAGGAAAACAAGCTCGGAGAAGGGGGATTTGGACCTGTTTATAAGGTAAGGCCTTCAATGACTAGATTGTAGTGTCTTCGATTTCTTTTGGAAACAACTGAGAAAATTATGGATAATCAATTCAGGGAAAACTGGTGACGGGACGAGAAATAGCTGTGAAGAGGCTTTCAAAAAGTTCTGGACAAGGAAATTCGGAGTTTAAGAATGAATTGATACTCATACATGAACTCCAACACACAAACCTTGTTCAGCTCTTTGGATTTTGCATTCATGAAGACGAAAGGATGTTGATATACGAATACATGCCAAACAAAAGCTTAGACTACTTTATTTTTGGTTTGGAATCAATACTACTTTAGTCTTAGTACTTGATTTTTTTTGTTTAATTTGTGAGTATAAAAATATATTGAGTATTGTTACTTAACTCTCTTTACATTGTGACAGATTCAATCAGAGGTATGCTACTTGATTGGAAGAAGCGTTTCGGTATAATAGAAGGAATCACTCAAGGATTGCTTTACTTGCACAGATACTCGAGAACGAGAGTAATTCATAGAGATTTGAAAGCTAGTAATATACTACTCGACGAAAACATGAACCCTAAAATTGCAGATTTTGGCTTGGCAAGGATATTTATCCACACTGAATTGGAAGCAAATACTAGTAGGATTGTCGGGACACTGTAAGTAAATGTGTATAAATTCTTAGTTGTCATGGCTTCTGCTTTTGGTTGTTAAGCATGTATTTTTGTAGATGTGTAGTTCTGTACTAATTGATGACTTTTTTCTTTTCCATTTTTTCCAGTGGTTATATGCCTCCTGAGACCATTGAAGGAATAGTTTCTGTAAAAACCGATGTCTACAGTTTCGGGGTGTTAATACTGGAAATCATAAGCGGCAGGAAAAACAACCGCTTCTGCAATGATGATGGCTTACTCAATTTAGTAGGATATGTAAGTAACCTTTTCTATATTCTTGTTTTTAAGGTTGAGCTGTGCTAGGGATGGCCACCCAAGCGCGTCGTTGATGGTTCGTGGGACCTCACTTCCATCAACGGTGGTTGTGAATGACTGTCAGTAGCATTTCATTATTGTGATATCCTAGCTAAATGATCATGTTAACATTTTTTCAGGCCTGGGAGTTATGGAAAGAAAATAAAGAGCTAGAACTAATGGATCCAACTCTAGGCGACTCCTGTAACGGGAATCAACTGTTAAGATGCATCCATGTCGGTCTACTGTGCGTGGATGAAAACGCAGCCGATCGACCCACCATGTCGGATGTGATATCGATGTTGACAAACGAAAGCATGGAGTTGCCTAAACCAAAAAAGCCGGCATATTACGCACAAGGAAATGTGGACTTCACTGGTATACGTGAAACGGGAGAGCAAACTGGATCGATAAATGTTTTATCTAATTCCGACATTGGTGGACGTTGAGAAATCAATCAACAATCCTGTAATAAAACATAGTTCCCATTGATAAAGTAGTTCTGGTAACGAAAACAAAAATCATCGATTATAATATATTTTGCTGAGTTCTAGTTGAAACTAGATTTTGTACCTGCACGTTGTTGCGGGATTGAAAACTATACGAAAGATTATGCAATTTCAATCTTCAGAAATAATGTTTGAGTAAAAAGTTGAGTTCCCAATGCCAATGCAAATTATACACAACCTCATCATGAGTGAAACAAATTGAAATATCAAAAGTGAAACCTATTTCGTCTATTAAAAATATTACGAAGTTCTTTGGATACGAAAAAACACAAATTGCTTCCTATCCAAAAACATTAATGGGAAATGTTTACTGCAACACTAAAAGTTGTCCTCTGCTATGTTGGTCATTAAGGATGCATCCCGGGCAAGGGAAAAAAAATTGAAATAAATTTATAGACAGTAAAATTACATCATGAACAAAATAAGGATAATGTGTGTTTACCTAGTGTTTTTGTGTGCATAAAGAAGTTGATTATGTGTGAAATGGAGATGACCTTCTCTAACAATTCTATAGGACACGATCAAACTTTTGTGCGTTTCTAACTTGCCTTGCAACCAAGTTTCTACAAAAATAGATTGAATTCAAGAAAGTAATTAAATTTTTTTTTTATGACGAAAAAATAAGTTACACCTAGTCAGAGGGGACATAAATCTTACCCCTAAAAAAGAAGAGCCAATAAAAAGGAATACACGAAAAAGAAGGGGGGACATAAACCTTACCTTTCTAGAAACAAAAAACGAGAATGATACAAAGAAAAGAGGGGGGGGGGGAACATGAAACCTAACCCCTCTAAAACCAAACCTAAAGGTCTAAACCTGCAAAACAAGTAAACCAACCCCATAAAGTTAGGAGAAAAAAAAAAAAGTGGGTCAAACCTGGATGCCAACATGCACATTAATTTGAGAAGTTGTAACCAGGCAAGCCAACATAGTCTGAAAAGAGAGTAGCACGAACTGCCATCGGAGGAGAATCATGTCAAGTTAAAGATGAAGAAGACAATCCCATGTTAGCAAAATTGTCTGCAACAAGATTTCCTTCGCAATATATGTGAGATGCGTAAAAAGTCATTTTCTGAATGTGATCCAAACAAATAGACCATTGCGTATGAAGAGGCTAAGGAGAATCAAAATCAGACGATTGAAAAGTAGAAAAATATTAAAAAATTAAGAGTGGAGGAAGTAATTTTTTTGTTTGTTTTCAAAGTGAAAAAAGTAATTTAAGATATATGAATATAATCTTTTTTATTTGGGTAAATCACCAAAATTGTCCCTGAGATTTGCATAACTCATCACTTTGGTCTCTAAGATTCCAAATCGATAAAAGTAGTCCTTGAGATTATCCACCATCCATCATTTGGTCATTCCGTTAAAAACTCCGTTAAGTGTCGCAGAGCTTTTGGATGGAAGTTTGGGCAATTTTCAAAGCTTCATAACTCAATCGTTGTTTAACTAAATCGACCCATAATATATCAAAATGAAGATAGAAAAGTGTAGAATAAGATTATACTTATTTCGAAGCTCAATGGTTGCAGGAGATGGCCAGAAAATAGCCTCAAAGTTGACTGGTCCAAATGAAAACTTGAAAACTCGCCGGAAACTGGGTAAACTTTAAACGTTCATAACTTCTTCAATACTCAACAAAATCTAGTGATTCAAACACTACAATCATACTTCTCGATGAAACAAAGAGAATGGTACCTTTTTCGACGGCTAAATCACCGTTTGTTGGCCGAAAAATGGCTCGAAAGTGGCTAACTCGAGACCAAGACAGCCACTTTCGAGCCATTTTCCGGCCAAAATACGGTGATTTATCCATCTAAAAACGTACCATTCTCTTTGTCTCGTCGAGAAGTATGATTTTCGTTTTTGAATCACGTGATTTCGTTGAGTATTGAAGAAGTTATGAACGTTTAAAGTTTACCCAATTTCCGGCGAGTTTTCAAGTTTTCACTCGGATCAGTCAACTTTGAGGCTATTTTCCGGCCACCTCCGGTAACCATTGGGCTTCTAAATAGGTATATTCTTATTCTACACTTTCCTATCTTCATTTTGATATATTATGGGTCGAATTTGGTTGAGAAACGATTGAGTTATGAAGTTTTGAAAATTGCCTAAACTTCCGGCCAAGAGCTCCGGGACACTTAACGGAGTTTTTAACATAATGACCAAAATGATGGATGTTGGCCAATCTCAGGGACCACTTTTATTGATTTGGAATTTTAGAGACTAAAGTGATGAGTTATGCAAATCTCAGATACCATTTTGGCGATTTAGCCTTTTTATTTTTAGGTCTGGCAACAATTTTATTGGGCATGGTGCTCCTTTATCTTGGGAAAATTAATAGTTTGATTTGGTGACTCGAGCTAGGATCAAGCAAATTGGAAAATAGAGAGTGAACTTTGTAAGCTATAAAAGTAGTTGACTTCAGCGAGAAAATTAGTGCAAGACTAAAGAGCAATGAGCCCATGCACACATTTTAAATCCTTGGAATAATCCTACCTTCAAGAAGTGGCGTTGCACCTCTTCACCAGAAAATTCTTATTCTCCAACATTATTAAGTACAAATTATGTATTTATTTCTTTATATTTAAATAACCCTTAATCTGGTACGAGGAAATTGAATTTATTAGCATTTCGAATCAGAGTTTTCCCACAGTTACGCCTCAAATCAGGTGCTAAAAACATATAATATGAAGAAAGAAAAAAGCAACCGAGAGATGAAGGAAAGAGACTGAGTCCGATTCTTCCATGTGCAAACAAATAAACTTTCTCCCCAAGAAACACAGATGGAAGGGATATATGGTGTGTGTGCAGACATATAAAAACAGTTAGTCAAACTCTATCTCTAATTTTAAATAAAATAAATGGAAAAAAAGTCTTCCTGTGAAGTTGTCACAACTTTGTTTAACTTATAATTAATCTACTCCCTACCCTTGATCAAGTATAATGTAATAATATCAGCCAAGTTTTCGTGTTCGTCAGCCAAAAGTTTGAGCAAGTTCTGCCTTGTGATCACTCATGGTGACAAGTTTGATGATCAGAAACTCAATTTTCTTCCTCATTTTTGCATGCTTGTGGAGTCTTCATGATGGAAAGGACACGATGAAGCCTGGGGACACTCTCAACTCCTCGAGCTCCTTAGTGTCTGCGTCCGGGAAGTTTAATTTGAGCTTCGTTGTACAAACCATGGATTCGAACACCAGCTATATAGCGATCCTACGCAACAACCAACTCCCAAACAAAGCATGGATTGGGAACAGAAACTCTCCTATTCCGTACCCTTCTTCTCCACTTCTCACCTTTGACTTGAGCAACACTTTGAGAATTACATACCAAGGTGGAAACCCTATTGTGATTTACTCTCCTCCGAAAAATATTAGTAGTACTAATGCTTTTGAGGCTATCCTTTTGGATTCTGGCAATTTTGTGATACGGGAAGCGAGCTCAGTCAACGGATCAACCAACGGAGTTTTGTGGCAGAGTTTTGATTATCCCACAGACACATTTTTACCAGGCATGAAATTGGGGGTTGACCGCAGAAGTGGCAAGAATTGGTCACTTTTATCTTGGGCAACAAGCTTCAACCCTGCACCAGGGCCTTTGACCCTCGATTGGGACCCAAATGGGAAACAATTGAGAATCAAGCAGGGTGGGGTGGTTTATTGGACTAGCGGGGTCTTTGATGGTGGAAAATTTCCATTTATTTTTCCTGAAGTGTCCGAGCAGAGGTACAATTTTAGCATCATTTCGAACGAATATGAAGACTACCTCACTTACAGTTCTGTAGGTGACCCAAGTGATCCAGAGCCGGAATGGGTGCTATATAGCAGGGGGACACTTTTTGAATATGGAGCACAAGTTGCGATCACAAATGCACAGTACTGTGACGGATATAATGCAGTTGGAGGGTGCGTGAGAAGGGACCGGCCAAGCAATTGTACGGGAAAATTTGGTGATGAATTTGTGCAAAAGAATGGATACTTGAAGATCAAAGACTCTAGTAATACTTCAAGAGCCACCAGCTGGCACGTTGTGAGTAGTGTTGATTGTAAAGTTCTTTGCTGGCAAAATTGCAGCTGCCTTGGTTTCGACACTCCAGCAGATAATCAGTCTAGTGGTCCTGGATGCCGATTTTGGAGTGTAGATTGTGAGTTCGTTGAAAATCGTACTGGATCAGGTAATACAAGTAGTGTTTTTGTTTTGTCAAGCCTAACAACGCTTGCAAATTCACCACCTGCTAAGAAAAATGGTACGTCCAATTTGATACCTAAACTTCATACAGGACAATTAGCTAACTAATCCTATTATATATAACTGAATTCGAAGCTAATTAATTGCAGTTAATTCAGGACGTAAGTGGTTATGGGTTGTCATTGCAATCCCTACTGCACTACTATTGACGATGTTTTGCATATTCGGTTATCTACTAAGAAGACGAATGCTTTCAGGTATGTTCTTTAAGCCTAATCTACACTTGTTAGACAGAATTTCAGATGTTTGATTGTTGTACTAAATTGAAAGTTTGACTTTCTACACTAATTTAAATAGGTGGGGACAGAGCAGGGAAGCAGAACACATGGCTTTTCTTTGATGAACCTCATCAAGAAAACATGGGAAAACATGATTTAAGCATATTTACGTATGAATCTATTCTGACTGCCACTTCCAACTTCTCGGAGGAAAACAAGCTCGGAGAAGGGGGATTTGGACCTGTTTATAAGGTAAGGCCTTCAATGACTAGATTGTAGTGTCTTCTATTTCTTTTGGAAACAACTGAGAAAATTATGGATAACCAATTCAGGGAAAATTGGAGACGGGACGAGAAATAGCTGTGAAGAGGCTTTCAAAAAGTTCGGGACAAGGAAATATGGGGTTTAAGAATGAATTGATACTCATACATGAACTCCAACACACAAACCTTGTTCAGCTCTTTGGATTTTGCAGTCATGAAGACGAGAGGATGTTGATATACGAATACATGCCAAACAAAAGCTTAGACTACTTTATTTTTGGTTTGGAATCAATACTAATTTAGTCTTAGTACTTGATTTTATTTGTTTAATTTGTGAGTGTAAAAACATATTGAGTATTGTTACTTAACTCTCTTTACATTGTGACAGATTCAATCAGAGGTAGGCTACTCGATTGGAAGAAGCGTTTCGGTATAATAGAAGGAATCACTCAAGGATTGCTTTACTTGCACAGATACTCGAGAACGAGAGTAATTCATAGAGATTTGAAAGCTAGTAATATACTACTCGACGAAAACATGAACCCTAAAATTGCAGATTTTGGCTTGGCAAGTATATTTACCCACACTGAATTGGAAGCAAATACTAGTAGGATTGTCGGGACACTGTAAGTAAATGTGTATAAATTCTTAGTTGTCATGGCTTCTGCTTTTGGTTGTTAAGCATGTATTTTTGTAGATGTGTAGTTCTGTACTAATTGATGACTTTTTTCTTTTCCATTTTTTCCAGTGGTTATATGCCTCCTGAGACCATTGAAGGAATAGTTTCTGTAAAAACCGATGTCTACAGTTTCGGGGTGTTAATACTGGAAATCATAAGCGGCAGGAAAAACAACCGCTTCTGCAATGATGATGGCTTACTCAATTTAGTAGGATATGTAAGTAACCTTTTCTATATTCTTGTTTTTAAGGTTGAGCTGTGCTAGGGATGGCCACCCAAGCGCGTCGTTGATGGTTCGTGGGACCTCACTTCCATCAACGGTGGTTGTGAATGACTGTCAGTAGCATTTCATTATTGTGATATCCTAGCTAAATGATCATGTTAACATTTTTTCAGGCCTGGGAGTTATGGAAAGAAAATAAAGAGCTAGAACTAATGGATCCAACTCTAGGCGACTCCTATAACGGGAATCAACTGTTAAGATGCATCCATGTCGGTCTACTGTGCGTGGATGAAAACGCAGCCGATCGACCCACCATGTCGGATGTGATATCGATGTTGACAAACGAAAGCATGGAGTTGCCGAAACCAAAAAAGCCGGCATATTACGCACAAGGAAATGTGGACTTTACTGGTATACGTGAAACGGGAGAGCAAACTGGATCGATAAATGTTTTGTCTCATTCCGACATTGGTGGGCGTTGAGAAATCAATCAACAATCCTGTAATAAAACATTGTTCCCATTGATAAAGTAGATATGGTAACGAAAACAAAAATCATCGATTAAGTGGAATATTGTATAATATATTTTGCTGATTTCTAGTTGAAATGTTATGCCCATAAATTTGGCTGATTTTTTTAACTCAATTGTCATGCATGTTAGCTATCCCACCTCGGGGGAAGAAAAAATAATGAGATTAAATGTGATTATCTCATTATAATTAGTATCGAAGTCTTTGTAATAAAACTTCACACCTGATAAATAAGACAAATGGTAATTATTAAGTTGAAGACACTATTGGTATCGTTAGCTAGAAAGGGGGCCCCCGCCCGTCGACCTTAAAAATTCAACTATGCACGCCATGTCAATTTCTGCCAAGTTTCCATGATCATCATCTGCAGAAATTGAATTAGGACCGCTGGCTGTTGGAATTTTGACAAGGAGGAGAAGAAGAAAAACTATAAATTTTGAAACTAAGAGGTTGGCGTCAAAGAGTTCACCGTAAAACCAATGGCAATATGAGAGTATATCAACTTACTTATAAGTTTATACAAAGTCTTTCCTCCCATCATTGTCGGATTCATTCTCAACATTAGGAACAAAACCTTTTGCTTTGCACGTATACATTCTTTCTCTTTTACTTTGTAATGTCCATTGTCCCATCAATGTGTTGAGATATATCTTCAACCTTATCTTGCACGGTTCTTTTCCGTGGTGGAGATTAGTCTTCTCTTTTAGTCGGTGAATATTGTAAAACTTAGAGCACTAGGGTTTTCAGCTTTTGATTGCACACCCATATAACGATGGGTCACAGTGTATTTATACAATACTTTCAGATTACAAGTAGGGTTTTGAATACCCTATTTACACGGATAACTTTGAATTCAAAAATACAAAATCACAACAGCTTATCTTTGAATTATTCAAAACTGAAACCGGACCTAGCAATCTTATCCTATGAAGAGTTTGTTGCAGAGCTTAGTTTGGGATAAGATTGACTCGGTCTAACATCCCCCCACAAGCTGATAGGTCGAGCAACGACGGGAAGCTTGGAAACTAACAAGTTGAAGCGTGAAGAGGAAAGACCCTTGGTGAACAAATCGGCAATCTGGTCTTGGGAGCAAATAAAATGAACCAAAAGCTATCCACGGACCACCTTTTCGCGTACATAATGGTAGTCCACTTCCAAGTGTTTCGTCCGTGCATGGAAAACTGGATTGGAAGCCAAAGCAATGGACGAAACATTATCACACCATATCTGCGGCCGTGGAAGATAGAGATGGAGATCTCAAAATAAACTTCCTAACCATGACAACTCAGCGGCAGTATAAGCAAGCTGCCTATACTCAGCCTCTGTGCTAGATCTTGAGACAGTCTTCTGTTTCTTTGAACTCCAGGAAATCAAATTCGTGCCCAAATAGATACAGAAGCCACCAGTTGAATGACGTGTGTCCGGATTTCCCGCATAATCAGCATCAGAGAAAGCATTTAATCGAACATCACCAGGTTTGTAGACAAGACCGTGATCATGTGTGGCCTTTAAATACCGCAAAATCCTCTTAACCGCCGTCCAATGTGTAGTTCGAGGCATATGCATGAACTGGCAAACCTGGTTCACAGCATAAGAAAGATCGGGTATGGTGATTGTCAAGTATTGTAACGCTCCAATAACCGTTCGATATTGTTCGGGATTAGAATAAGGTTCAACAACATACTGACTAAGCTTTTGTCCCGCAGGTACATGAGTGGATACTGGTTTGACAGCAGTAAACTTGGTGCGCTCCAGCAGATCCAACGCATACTTGGACTGTGTAAGATGCATATTCTCCCCAGAATAAGTAACCTCGACACCCAAAAAATAACTTAAAGGACCTAAGTCCTTCATAGAAAACAAAGTGCCAAGCTTCTCTATCAACCATTGCATTTGTTTATCATTATTGCCTGTAAGAAGAATGTCATCCACATAGATAAGTAAGATCAAGTAAACGCCTCGTTGATTAAACACGAACAATGAATAATCACATAATGATTCTTCAAACCCAAGTTGAAGCAGATAATCCGAGAATCTTCGAAACAAGGCTCTGGGAGCCTGTTTTAATCCATACAAACTTCTCTGCAATTTACACACATAATTGGGATACTGCTGATCAAGAAAACCTAGCAGTTGTTTCATGTACACATCCTCATCCAAATAGCCATGCAAGAATGCATTCTGTACATCCAACTGTCACACCGTCCACTTTTTCGACACTGCAAGACTCAAAACAAGCCGAATGGTGCTGTGTTTCACGACTGGACTAAATGTTTCATTATAATCCATTTCGAATTGCTGATGGTAACCATTAGCCACAAGTCGAGCCTTGTGACATTCGAGAGAACCATCTGCACGTCTCTTTATTTTAAACACCTATTTGTTTGGCAGCAGGTTCATTCAATGACAATAAGGAACAAGCACGTTCCACACCTTTGCAAAGCACTGAACTCTTGTGCCATTGCTGCCCTCCATTCTGGATATTTAATAGCCTGACTAAACAAGACGGCTCAACAAACTTGGAGTCAGCGATTGCATGCAAAGCGTATTTTGGATTTGGCTTTTGAATCCCAGATTTTGACCTTGTTGTTATTGAGTGGGGGAGAGTAGTCTCTCGTATGGAAGATGATGTGGTAGATAAATTTGATGAATGAGAAGGATTCTGAGAACTTTGCACGGATGGAATGTGAACCAAGTCTTGCTCATTGGTGGGACCTAATGTTGAACTAGGTTGAGGTGTCCTATTTAAACAAGGGATGGTAATGATAGGTGGAGGAGGAGTAAGGTCCAAATTTGAAACAGTTTGCTGGGGAGTAAAAGTTGGCGTGATATGTGGCTGATCACTAGACACCAAGTTTGACTCAGGCTGGTGGTTGAGGCTAGGGTGAGATTCGACAAGATTTGGTGAAGATATGGAAGGTACCAAGATTGATGAGGGTGTTGTGGTTAAAATCAAGTCAGGGGTCAAAGGTGTACCTGTGATAGTGACGTCGTCATTGGGAGATGCAAGTTCCTTGAATGGAAAGGAATCCTCATCAAATAAAACATGGCGAGACACGTAAATGCGTCTCGTGGATAAGTCCAAGCACTTGTATCCTTCATGATTCAGTGAATATCCAAAGAAAACACATGGTTTGGACTTTGGTTGAAGTTTATGCCGTGTATAAGGAGTCAACAGTGGAAAACATTTTGAACCAAACACTTTAAATGCCTCATATTTTGGATTCTTTTGAAACAATTTTTCATAGGGAGACACGTTAGATAAAACCTTTGTTGGAAGCCTGTTTATAATATAAACAGTTGTGGAACATGCATTGAACCAAAATTTTTAAGGCATATGAGCATGAGAAAGCATTGTAACACTTGTTTCAACTATATGACGATGCTTTCGTTCGGCAATTCCATTTTGTTCAGGATGTTTTGGACACGAAAAACGTTGGGAAATCCCATGTGTAGCAAGAAAAGTTTTGAAATCGCGACTCATGTATTCACCACCTTCATCACATTGAAGAGCTTTAATAGATTTGTTAAACATTTTTTCAACATGTGTTTTAAATGGCACAAAAATTCCAAACACTTCAGATTTATTTTTCATGGGAAAGATCCACAAATATCGTGAGTAGTCATCCACAAACAACAAGTAATAACGAAAACCTTCATTAGAAATAATAGGTGAACTCCAAACATCAGAATGCAAAATTTCTAATGGACAATAAGACACGGACACAAACTTGCTAAAGGGAAGTTTAGTGCTTTTGCCTAATGGACAAGAGTCACAAAACGTTACAGTACTTGTACCAGATAATGGTACTTGGTTATTTGTAATAAAAAATTTAATAATTGACTAAGCAGGATGACCAAGACATAAATGCCATTTCTGAGGTGAGACTCTAACACCGACACACACTGAAATAGGATAGTTGGACAATCCACCACCACCAGGAAATGGATACAATCCATTCTCACATCTCCCGCGGAAAAGTGTCTTCCGGGTTTTGAGGTCCTTAACAAGGAAGAAATAAGGAAATATTAGTATGTAGCAATGGTTATCTAGGGTGAATCTGTGTGCCGAAATGATATTAGTGGATGCGGATGGACAATGTAAAATGTCATGGAGGTTAAATGAGCAAGACTTAGTTGAAATTTGATTCGAACCAGAATGTGCAATGGAAAGTTGAGAACCATTACCTACTCCACCAATGTTGTCATTACCAGTGTATTCTTTTGGATTTGCAAGATTCTGAAGGTCTGGGGTGACATGAGCATTGGCACCCGTGTCAAGAAGCCAATTTCCATTATTAGGCATCACTTGAGAATACGCCATGGCAGCAAGACGATTGGTGGGGATGCGTCCTTCATAAGCTGTATTCATCCGCTGGTAACAGTCCAGAGCCGGATGGCCAGGTTTGCCACAAATTTGGCATTTGATGCGTTCTCCAGAAAGGTTGCACCGGTCACCAGTACTTGCAGATGCACCACCACATTGATTGTTGTTGTTGCGAGGAATACCAACTCGTTGATTGCCATTGTTGATGGCACCACCACGATTGAACGGAGAGCCTCCATGTCCATTGCCACGAGAGCGACCACCATGGCCTCGTGACGCTACAAAAGCATTGATCGGAGCAGTTTCAGTCAACACAGCTTGCTCCGTCATCCGTCTCTCCGTTGTCAGCAGAAGAGCTTCAAGTGTTGGATAAGTGATTGGAGTATCACAAGCTTGTGCTGCATTCACAGTCATCTCGAATGCAGGACCAAGATTATTTAAAATAATTTGAACCAGTTCATCATCACTTACTGGTTGTCCGGCCAGAGCAAGGTTGTCGGCGATCGCATTCATACGATCCAAGTAGTCAGCTACAGAGAGGTCACCTTTCTTCGTCTACAGCAGTTCTGTACGCAGAAACAATATACGATTCTGGGAAGTTGATGCATACTACTGTTCCAATGCTTCCCAGGTTGCACGGCACGTGCGTTTGCTTGCTACTGTCGACAAAACAGAAGCAGTGAGAGAGCTGTTGATCCAACTGAGAATCATCTGATCATGTTGAATCCAAGTCATGTAGGCTGGGTTAACGTCAGTGGTGCCAGCCAGAGTCTTAGGAGGACACACAATGGAGCCATCAACGTAACCCATCAGGTCACGGCTCTTGAGAACATGCAAAATCTGAGCGAGCCAAAGCGGATAATTCGAGCGGTCAAGTTTGATATTAACCACACTAGTCATAGAGGTGATGGAGGAATGAGCAGTGGGTAGGGGGAAGGATTGATGTGAGTGGTGGAGTTAGTGTTGTTGGTGTTGTTGGTGGCAGCCATGGAAGCGACAATGGGTGGAAAAAAAATTGGATCGTTTGTCATTAGACTGTAGGGCTCAATACCATGTAAAACTTAGAGCACTAGGGTTTTCAGCTTTTGATTGCACACCCATATAACGATGGGTCGCAGTGTATTTATACAATACTTTCAGATTACAAGTAGGGTTTTGAATACCCTATTTACACGGATAACTTTGAATTCAAAAATACAAAATCACAACAACTTATCTTTGAATTATTCAAAACTGAAACCGGACCTAGCAATCTTATCCTATGAAGAGTTTGTTGCAGCTTAGTTTGGGATAAGATTGACTCGGTCTAACAAATATTACTTGCACAGCCATGCTTTGACGAATGTGGCTTTATCATAAAACCCCAACAACATTAATACATCAATATATTTTAACACCAGCCTCGTGCTCGTTGATCATGGCTATCATCAACTTAGTTTTCCTGATCATTTTTGCATGCCTGTGGAGTTCCCATGATGGAAGAGACACGCTGAAACAAGGTGATACTCTCAATTCCTCAAGTTCCTTGGTCTCTGCATGGGGCAATTTCACTTTGTCTTTTATTGTAAATAACATAGATGGTTCCAACTGTAGCTTTCTAGCTATCATCACGGAGATTCTGCAACTGCAAATGGAGCATGGATTGGCAACCGAGACTCGCCTGTTTTATACCCTTCATCCCCACTACTTACATTGGACTTCAACAATACATTGAAGATTTCCCAAACAGATGAAGATCAAGATCCTATTGTGGTTTGTTCGGCTCCACATACTAGTAATAGTAATACTAGTGTTGTGGCTACCCTTTTGGATTCTGGCAATCTTGTCGTACTACAACAGGTGAATTCTGTGGACGGATCGATGAACCGGGTATTTCTGCGGCAAAGTTTTGATTATCCCATTGATACCTTTCTTCCTGGTATGAAATTAGGTGTGAACCATAGGAACGGCCACATTTGGTCTCTTTCATCATGGTTGGGTATCTTCATCCCAGCTCCTGGGCCTTTCACCCTTGATTGGGACCCCAACCAAGGGCATCTGAAACTGAGGCGAAAAGGGGTTATTTTTTGGACTAGCGGAGTCTTAAAATCAGATGGGAGATTTGAATATATATTATCCGATGATTCCATGATGAAATATAGATTTAGCTTTGTTTCAAATGAAAATGAAGACTACGTTACTTACACTGCTGCAGAAGGTGGCTCTCCACAAGAGTTGGTGTTGTACCCCTTTGGGTCACTGTATGAGTATCGTGTACAACTTGATGTTGCACAAGCAGAAAAATGTGATGGCTATAACACTGAGGGAGGGTGCGTGAAAAGGACCGCCCGAGTGAATGTATGAAAGAATTTGGTGGTGAATTTGAGCTCAAAAATGGTTCTTTTGAACCAAGCAATATCACTAATACATCACGAGACCCCTACTGGTTTGGTAGTAGTAATACTGATTGTAAGGCTACTTGTTGGTAAAACTGTGACTGCCTTGGATTCGACTTCCCAATATCTGATAATCACACTGGATGCCGATTTTGGATTGTAGACTGTCAGTTCGTTGAAAACATCACCGGCTCGGGTACTACAAATGGTAGTTTTGTTTTGCCAAGAAAATCAAGCACGCCAATAAAACCTTCATCACAAAATTTTATCCGTGACTCTAAACTCTAGCTACGCACATATGTTCATTCTTCTCAACATACATGTCATGTAGAAAAAAATGAAAAACTTCAACTACAAATTTAACGACTCCTTCTGTTTAAGATGCCGGTTGTTCGGTAATCATATTCGTTTGTTTGTAGTTTTTTGTTTTCATTTTTTTTTTTGCTAGTAATTTATTTGTTTAATTCAATTAGCTAGACTTGTTTAACTTACAAATCAACAAGCTGATGTATGTGTATGTATTATTATTAGGTTTTTTTTTATATTTGAGCTCATACTATGTAACACCCAACCCCATTTATTAAAAT